ATAAACAAAATACCCTATATCCCCGCGGATAAAAAGTTAGCAATTGTTAAAACCTAATTATGTGATGATTTGTCTGACCTTAGACATAAACCTTATAATTCGCGCAACTTATCTATAACATGGGAACTTATAGTATACAAATGCATAATAAACAGATTTGATTTGAGATTATCAAACTCGAGAACATGTTGTGGGCACAATGTCACCGGAAATTGTGGTTCGTGGCCGGTACACCAGAATGTTTGCCAGCTAGTGGCAAGTATGCCAGGTGTGGCGGGAATACTCGACTTGTGGATTGACAACATTGCCATGTTTGTGGTGTGGCGATCATGCAAATAGTGTTTAAGTACTAATCCACATTTCACTGCAAGACCCGAGAATTCTAAATATAAACCACGGCACATACTTAGATCATATGTTGCTGTTTACAAAATATAAACTAAACCCAGCTTCGACACACAGGGGACGAGTTCCGTTGAAAATAGAATCGTTCGTAGGATATTCATGACAATTGCAGTAAGGATTTTCGAAAGAAGCCTGACTTTTATCCCTTATTTGCTTTGCTACTAAGATCGTAATAATTAAACAGCTTTTTAATCCATGTTTGCATTATATACACAGGTACCGCAAATATATATTTACGATCAAGTACAAATAATTTCCAACCATCAAAAGTACCTGTATCTGAATAATAAATCTGCCTAAAAACACGTTGTCAATACAAGAAAACAGCAGATTTATGAATCTCTTCATAACGTTTTTTACTGAGATTTCCAAGAAAATATATCCGGATGATAAAGCAAATGTCACAGGTAAAATACTCACATGGTAGTATTCCTTTGAGAAGCGACCTTCAAGGTTCTTTCACTTCACACGTGAGGAAGTTTCTATGACATAAACATTCATTGATACTTATGTTATTAGTACACAAACGATAGGTTTCGATCACAACCTTTACACACACATCGATGCCGGTCTCTGTAAATTCGAATTCAAAGAGATGAGAATACCTTAATACCATATATGTATAACGTATTATTACTAAACTTGTTTTATTTTTGTACGAATACGACTACGCGGACGGCGTCTATGACTAACGCACGGAGTGCTCGAACTGCCAAACCAGTTAATTAAAATTCATAATAACGTCCCGAATTGAATTAGCAGTACGGATGTAGCAGATTCAAAGTCAACCGTTTTTTTGTGTTGTATAGTTATAATATAGCTGAGTTAAGAAGGTTCATAATATTTTAAAACTTGGCGGTTTTAAAATTATACAAGTACTATATTGAAGTCATATGTATTAATTTTTTTAATGTTTTCAAAGTATATATTTTTCTTTAAAAACATTTGGCACAGCTTCATGTCTGTCAATACGGTAGTTTCCTTTTATCCAAATGTCAAAAACTATACTTTTCTATTAAATTTGTATGAAATACTGAGTTATGACGTCATAGTATTTTTGCGTCAAATAGCTTACTTATTTCTTAAAAATTAGCTAAAAAATATTGTAAATTTATCGATCGATCGATGAATGAAAGTATAGTTATTTTTCAATATTATGTTATTGTTTGAAACGTCGAATTAATTTATTTTTGACCTAGGAAACTACCCAAAGTATTACCTATGTTATGGAATAGCGTTAACTAACATACAAATCGAAATACATATTATACCCAGAGCCAAAACAACAAAGTTTATCCTCCTAAACGCCAGGTCTATGCATATAGAAAATATAATAGACCTTATTGACAGTAAACATTACATTTATTTGTACGAGTGTTCAATGATGTGAACTGAATAAACCACTAGAGTGTTGTCAAAGACAAGCGGCTGTCGTCGACTGTAAAAGCATCCTTATGTACCGATAATGTAACTGAAATAAAAGCCTGTCATTTTCATTGGCGTTAATTGATATTTTTAGTAGATAGACCATGGTAGAAGTTTACTGCCATTTTCAAGTCTTAATTGATAAAGTTGGAAAGGCGCGTGTTTTTGTGTTTCCCTCTTCAAGGTGTATGATTTTATTAACAGCTATTGAAAATATAATTATATGTATTTATTTATTTATTATTGCTTTCTCAACAATGATATACAAAACTATATAATTTGTACATTACAAATTGCCCTATTACTTGTAAAGAAGCACAGCATACACTATACTATGCGCGGGTATTAAAATAATTAATTGATTTTGAGCTAATAATGCAACACAACGTACATGGCAAAAGTTAATCGAGCGGTATTATCAGGTATTATATACGCCAAAATATCTTTAATGGCAAACTATAATAATTTGAAATGTGATTGATACGTTTAGTTAAAACTTTACTATCTATAGTAATTCCATTTAGACTTTACTATCTTTAACACGCGGCTTCGCTCCCATCATTTGACGTACCCTACCCTACCCAAATCAGTTCAGGCGTTCTTGAGTTCTAAATAGTGTAACTAACAAGACTTTCTAATGTTTTAATCTACGTATGTAGGTGTGCTATATAATCATGGATAGTATAATCAGGTATTATAGGAATTATATTTGCAAAAATATCTTTGATTTTTTAACAAGTCCACTACCATTGGTACCCTGAGAATAGAAACCGCATTACAAAAAAAAAATTTAACTATTTGAAACACATCCACTACCTTACTTATAAAAGATGGTTTTTTCCATCAAATTATATCATAGGTAAGTTTGGTACACAAGTAAAGAAATTTGTAAGTAACTTGTTTCATCATAAAAAGAAATCCTTTACTTTAAGTTAAAAAAAACTATGCGTCTTATTTCAGACATTCCGAAAATTTGCTTTGTGGTTGTAAAAGAATCTTGAACTTTTGTATACGAAAATTGTTTGTTACAAAATATTCCAAAAGAAAAGGAGTGGAAAGTTTTATAAGCAGAAATATATTAATCTACCCTCATACCCTTTATGTATAATCTTAATTTTAGTAACATATAATTTGTAATACCATTAATAATTTGTATTGTAATGCATTTGTAATGCTAAAGTTAATATTATTATGTCTGTCTGTTACGCTTTCACGCTAAACCACTTGGCAGGCACTCATTTTGAGGAGTTTTGGACGGATATAGAATAGACCTTGGATATAATACTAGGGCTAATAAATTCTGCCCAAAATAGGTAATTGTTCCACATGTAGGAAGACATATACAAAAGCTAGTTTTATATTAACAATTTAGTAAAAAGCATACCTACATAATAATATGTCGAAATAATGCGGTACTTCGAAAAAGGATCCAATTATAAATCACCTTCCATCTACTTTCATGAGTAAAATGATTGATTAATGTTAAAAAAAGAAAGAGGTATATCAGAATTGTGTCCTTTGGCGTTCAATTGCCTCTGTCTAACTCAATAGGAAAGGGGCGTGACGATATTCTTATGCATATCCTTCGCCAAGATCTTTAGTTCTCGATTGTGAGCACGAGACCAGGGTTTTATTGATTGGGTTAAATAGAAGAAAACTTCAGTACAGTTGATAATGCATTTTTAAATTATTTAAGTTTCAATCATATCTCATCGGCAAGCTATGAGGGTAGTATTCATTATGGTTTGATTTTTAGATTTATCCAAAGTTACTCGTCATTAGTAGTATTAGTATTCCGGTTATATTTTTTTCTGATTTATAATCCAGCGTATACCTGGATGTTGTCAAACAATATCGTTAATTAGCTATCCACTAGTTTATTTCTAACGTAACGTAACATTGCATAGAAGTATCGCTGTAAGCGAATTCTAATACGATTAGCGACTCAGCTACTGTTCAACATCGCCGCATCGTTCAGTTCATTATAGCCAGTCAATATGTGTATTTAAAGCGTTAGTTCAAAAGCGGGTTTTGCGTTGTAACAAGAGAATAAACCTTAATTACAAAAGTCGACTGTAAAACCTTCAGTACAAAGCTGAAAATTGATTGAACATGAAACGTTATATGACCAGTAATGCAGAAATTTTCTTATGTTGCAGTAAATAAGGATAAATAAGGAAAAAAATAAACATTGTCAAAAAAGAAATTACAAGTGCATGTTTAATTATGTTTAGATAGTCACTATCTTCCATATAATTTTCGATATAGGACTTAATTTGTATGAGCTATCGGACATATTTTATCGGCTTCATTTATGTTAGTGGTGAAACATCTCCCTAATTCAATCAAGAAGTAATACAGTGTATTCCATTTAGTGTAGTGTATGGGTATTGGTAGGTTTTATTAGGTCGGTGAACGCACAGCGCGCTGTAATTGCCCTATAATCCGATCAACGTTGCACGATGCAGCGATGTGCAGTTTAGTCGCGACAATTAAATTGCTGGGTTGTTATTTACTTTAGCCGGTTTGTTACAATTACATTAAAGGCAATGTAATTGCAACAAACTAGACATAAGTTTTAATAAACATAATTGAACATAGTCTCTGTTTTCACAGTCTAGTAGGTAAGGTATTAAATCAATGCGGATCACACTGTGAATTAATTCACTCAAAACTAGATGCGGGCTCACAAAGTAAATACCGCATGTAGTATGGTCGTCGGTACGAGTGTAAGCGTAGGTAGGTTCAGTAAAACGATCGTGTTCTACTTTGTCCTAATGAAGATCGGAAGTGACGTCGCGTCGCTTGGTCCTCCTCCAGCGCCGTTTTATTTACTAGCGTAATAGCACTAGACATGCCAGACTACGGCGCAACAGGCCGTGCGTCGTGTGGGTAACGAACGAGAATCCATTTCATTAATTAACATCAAATAATCAAGTAATTAAGCCTTTATCTAACCGGGCAGATACAAAGGAGTCAAACGGCCCGCCAATATTAAGTTTTTACAAATTAACTGCCTTTGCATATTTCAGTAGGTACCTATTTCGCAGAAATACAGTAAATGAAAAACCGACAAAGAACGTCGAAAAAGAATGTTCTTTTTCGGTTTGATAATTTCTTTGATAGAAGAATTAAATAACCTTTATGAATAATGAGTGATTTCTACTTACCCGAGAAGGGCGGTCTCTTCAGCACTCATAGGCATTTTCGGTGACGGCTTTTCTGGATCTTCAAAGGTATTTCTGAAATAGTGCAGGGTATGTAGCATACGATATATGGGCCATGAAGTGTTACAATTAAGTGCAGGCACATATCTAGAATTTCATACTGAAAACAATCCACAAAATCATTTTGAGAGGTATTTTAATACATCATTCACGACCTACCTACTTGGCAAAAACTCTATTTGATACGTGTTCAAAATACATTTAACCTTTAATATTTTTAACGACTGCAAATACCCACTTCAGGGTAAAGACCTTTGTGTGTCTAATTTGAATGACTTCAATATCTCAATGGATCGAAGACTAGTCTATCCCGCAGTCCATTTACCATTTTGACCTACTTATCCGATGCGGCGGGTAATCACAAAGTCAAGACGTCCATTTTAGAGAGGTGGAAACCGTAAGTAGTAGCCAGTGTAACAGGATGGCCTCAGATAACGACTGGGGTCTCTGACAAAGGCCGCGACGCGAGAACATAAACATTTTAGTACTAGTACAACAAAAAATATGATAGAGATACCCTCTTTTTAACATAATTTTCATTACAGTCTAACCGAATAGTTAATTGGGAATAAATCCGATTCGTCGGTAGACGGAAATTCAGCTATAATAGCAAGAGTAGTAGTAGTCGTTTGTAGTTGTTGAGGGTGCCCTCAACAACTACAAACGCATTTCATTTATCTTCCAGCGCCACCGAACATGTTTATTGTCACTAGGTATATTTTTAGCCTATTCGGATTGGTTAAAGTCCTATTAAGCATATCTCTATCCTATCTGCGTAACACTATGACCATCAATAATAATCTATAATATTACTGTCGCTCTTTGTTCGTAATACGGATGTACCACGAGGAGCTAATGTCGGTAGGAGAGGCCTGTCTAATGCGGCGTCAGCTGCGGTGGGTCAGCCTGATTCCCCCAATTTCTGGCGATAGAGGAGCAAAACGTATTTTTTTCTTTCTATAAGGAACTGCGGGATGCTAATCGATAACAACGTGGTCAAATCGCGCTTCAAAGATTTTCTTTAACGCCACGTGACATGGGAAGTTCGTATTAAGGCTGCGAATAGGTCACTAAACTATAAGGAACTATACAATCGATCGTTATTATTTACCAAAAATTCTTAATACAGACGGCGCGTGATTACTTTCGTGTTCAAATTTGAATATTGACCTAAAGAGGAGCGACGCGGGCTAAGGCACGACTCCTGAAGCCATCCAAATTAAAATATAATAACTTTGGCGGGGGTGTTTACTTGCAATCGCTTGAAGGTGAAGTCCTTCAGTATACATAGTAGTAACAATTTTTTAGATATATATTACGTTTTTACAGATATTTGTGTTAATTTCCACGCTGAAAAGAGTTGTTGCTGACAAAACCTAAACTTATATAATTTCTCTACAACAGGGAAACTAAGTAGGTATACGTACATTGCGAAACCCTTTAGAAACAACGGCAACGACCGCTGCCGCGAGTAGAGAACATATTAGAGTTTAAGAAAGAACAGTATTAATGAAACAACATTCCAAAGAGAGTAGACTAGAGACCCGCCGTTAGCATCGTCATCATAAGTAGGTACTTATTAAATACACATGAAATAATCCTACACAGAAATATCTTGTAACAAAAATTCAATTTATTATAAAGCAGTTAATTTAAAAACCTCTTAGGTATTTCACAGTTTGGACTTACCTAACACTGTATACCAAAACATTTTAATAGCTAGTGCAATGTTGCATTCCAAATGGCATTTTGCATTATAAGGTATCAAACAGCCGTTCAAGATGTATATTTATTTTAAATATACTTAGGTACATAAGTAAAGTTGGCCTTTCCTAGAAATTATTTTATCTAGATATGTGCCTTACATATTCATGGGTATGATAATGTATTGTGAGTCTATATACACATGTAAAGTAACGAAGGATCTTCATCTTTTACTACTCAAAAATACCCACAAAAAATGGAAAAGTCATTTTACTCATTTTTTACTTACTACTTTTCTTTGTACCTACTTAAAACTACTATTTCTTAAAATTAATAAAGAAGAAAAGTTACTACCATTAAAAGTTATCTACATATTTGTACCTACACATGCAGGTTATTTGAAAGTTCAGAGTGAGGACAAGGTGATACCTAATACAAAATGTGACAAGCCAATGAAGCACATGCAAAGGGCAGAATACTCACTCCGTCAACACCTCAGTCATATCTGATACACAATCATCAAAATAGGGGTCTAATTTCTTCTTAGCTGCCCCTCCAAGGCGAAGAATTTTCTTAACATTACTCTTTTTGTTGGGCACTGTGGTACCTCGGTATACTTCACCGAGGCACATGTAAGAGCCACCATTCAGCAAACCCCGCTGCTGATGCATGCCAACTTAACATCAACAAAAAATAAAATAAGAAACTTTAAAAAGCAAGAAACCATAATCATGCGAGCAAAGCTTGCACCCAGTCACATAGGCAAATAAGAATAGTTTTAACAGTTGCACTTTTTTCGAAACTAAATAGTTTGCTGTGAACTTTATTGCCTAGTTACGTGAACAGTCGAGTTGCGGAAAGTAAGTGGTGACCTAACAATAAACTAAAAAAAAAGTTTCCAGCTAAAAATTAACTTACCTTCCTGAAACAGGAGCTCGTTTAAGTGATAATTTATGGGTTTCGAGTAGTAGTGGCCGCAAATTGCTAAGTCGCGCACCTGTTTGCACTGACCACCGTTGTAGCGTAACGCCGACAACTGAATAGTTGGAAATGTGCTAGCACCAACCTCCTCGCACTTAGTACTAGCTGTAGCAGTCGTAGCTCACTTCGCAACGTACTGGAAGCGCATGCGTATATAAATACGTCAATTATTTAATTTAAAACCCGGGAATTATAATACTTTCATCAAGGTGCAAGAAATGTACTTCGATGTATTCGATGTATGTATGAGTAAACAATTAGGCATTCCAGACATAATGAATTTTTTTGTTTTACGACTTACATTTTGTACTTTTACCCGCAGAGCAAAGACGGTGTTAAGCCCGGACACAAACTTTTTTGAGAGTGAAACAACTTTTACACTACAAAAACAATAAATAAATAACCAGCAGAACGCAATCCACCTTGTTTTAAATTTAAAATTATTTATTTTATTATTTTTTGACATAGATCACAGTCTTTTAAGGCTATTTTTAATGTTGACTTTTGAAACGTCATTGACAAAAAGATGGAACGAAGAATTTTTTTATTTATATACTTATTTAACCTGGGTATTATTAGAAGAGTTACAGAGAATATTAAATACGTTTTTGTGACTATACATTTTTGTATTAACTATAACAAAATACAAGAAATCCATTTCCATCTTACAAAACAAGTGGTAAATAGTTACTTCGTGCGCCATCTATATTTCTGTGCGCAAATAATGGCTTCTACATTCAAAGAATCTGAATTCCAACGAAACGCCTCTAGTGCGATGCCATAGATGTCACTAAAATAATAATTCTTAATCTTTAAATTGTTATAGCTATTTTAATTTTTTAAACAAAATCCGTAATATTTATGTGAGTGATAGATTTCATTTTCATATTTCTTAAAATTATTTATTATCTGGCAACCCAGTGACAGCGCCATCTATTCCTAATGTATAACACTTCTTCACAAGGTTTGAAAATAGTACGTGAGATGTCACTAGTGATTGTTATTAACAGCCAATCTCCAAAAACAATAAAAAATATACCTTATAAAATATTATTATAATTCCTTTAATAACATTAGTGTTAGGTAGGGCCTGGTAGTTACGATAGGTAGGGTAGGCTGCTTCCTCAAGGAATATTGGCAATTTCAAACAAATACCTACTTAGTATAAAGTTAAGTCCAAACACTGGGACTGGGAGAAGTCCCTGTGTTTCGTTCACCATTAGTCAGCACACTCAGCACCTTCCGCATGAGAAAACTTAAATGTATGTTTTACACAAATTTACCGCTAGGCAGATGAAATTTTCTTCCTTTATTTAATTGTCAGTACTCGTGAATATTTTGCAAAAATTTGGTTTGATATTTTGCAAAAATCGATCGTTTAAACGTGTGATTAGTTTTTAATAACGAATTTATTTTCTTGTTGCCGGTTTCTTCCGTTATCTATGCAGTATAATTACACATACCTGCTCAAAATGTACTTTACCAAATCATTAAAAAATCTGTATAGTAAGTGGTACCTAGGTAGCTACATGCCTAATTTGTGCCTTACTTCTTCGAGATAAATAACTGTGAAATAATAACTTTATAAATTATATAATGAATTAAAATTATGAAACTGCAACTATTTAATTTTATATTTAAAAAGAAATGAAAAAAACTTCAGATCATCTTTTTTTTATAAAGATCTATATAACGAACCAAGCAAATTTTCCTCTTGTTTGTAGTTTACTAATTAGGTAGTTAGTATGAACTTTCTTAATTCAATAAAATTCAACGTTTCACAAAATTAAAAAGTACCTATACTATACCTTTTTATTGACAGTTGCCTCTAAAGTGCCACTCAGACCCGGGATAACAATTTGTTGATTACATAAAGAGTTGTTCCGTGCGGGAATCGAACCCGTTTGCCCAGGCACCATGCCAACCGCGCAGTAAAAAAAAAAACTTGTAAATGGTAAGAATTAACCATACTTTATAATGATTGTTGTTACACGGCGAAATGAATCATAATTATCTTAATTTTATTACCAAATACTAAATACAAATTTATACCTTTTCAAGTTATACTCACAAGCCGTACACAGGTACGCTGGCTCCACAATATTCTCGACAGGGACATGACGGAGCATCGATCCCAGTGCCACTCCTGTACACAGCAACACAACGCGGCTCATGTTCCAATGTCACATCACTTATCACTGGCAGTTTCTCATCAACTACGAAACCGATATTGTCCATGTTTGCAGACACAACGCGGGAAGAGCTTACAAGTAAAATTAAGTTTAATTCATCAGCCAAGCGAACGCCGGCGTTCGCGTACCTATTGTTCTTCTATTGTGGCTCGAACTACCACGATTCAAATGTTAATAAATTCAGATTATTACTTTAAGTACTTATTGTTAAGGTCGGAGTTTGTTTCATGATATTGAAAATTAGAATTTCGTTTGCTCTATATCGGTAATGACAGCGCACAAGTAGGATAAGCTGGCAACTGAAAAATGCCATTGACGACCACCCGTTTTATATAGACTTGCATTGTTAATCCAGCATTTTGCAGTCATGTGGAAAATTCTCCATTCTCAATAATGCCTATTATGCTTACGTTCTGACAATATAAGTAGATACCTATTAGTTAAATCGAGGTTACTAAATTGCTTTGTAGGCACTTGCTTACCGGCCGAAGTTAAATCAAATTAATATAAAAAACGATTAACATTGTTCAAAATTGTACTTATATGAAATGACCCGTATTTTATATAAGTACCTACAGTCTTGAATAATGTAGTTTGCACCTGATTTTAAATGATGTTTTTTCTATTTAGAGTTACTCTACTTGAAGCATTAATAAAATATTGTAATTGGCCAGCAAATATTAGTAAAAATAATCGAATATTTACTGAATTCTCTTGAGTCCCAATGCAATTTATGAAGACTAACGAAGTTAATGTCTTTGCTTGGGAACAAGTGGTTACTAGAAACAGGAAATAAAGTCTTCTGCTATATTGAAAATGGTCCTTAGGTGCAGATAAAGTTATGACTTTAAAATTGCTTCTGAAGTAAAATTAAATAAAAATTCAATTTCAGAGCCAATCATTAGTCTGAAAAACTGTTTGCCGTTTAAATTTTATTGGAAAACTAAGTTAAGTATTTATTTAGTTACTGTGCAAAAGCAAATGAAAGTTATTTTGCTATAGGTATTGGGGTTTTTTATAGTTTACTGGGTGCAAATAAACCTAGCTTCTAAGAAAACTTAAAATTATACCTATAATTTTTGTACGTTTTAAAGGTTTACGGTAGACAGGCAAATGTCTTGGACAATATAACTTCTACCTATTTATACTTAAATGTATGTATTTCGCATTAGCTGTAGATACTATTCATTGGGTCGATCCCGATTCCTGATCACGTGCTGGGCAAGCATTTCGTTACACCTCTCCGACGGGATCGGGTAAAGTGATTGAAGTTGGCTCCGCCGACGCCACCGATAACATTTGGACGATTTCGACAGAAGCGTCAGCGTTTAAGGCCACGAAAATCCAGGAGACAAGAGAATTAAGTACTTTTATATCAAAATTGTCAAATTTCTTCTTAAAGGTTCAATTGTTATTTGATTCCGACTGCCTCGTTAGCTTAGAAGCTTGTATAGGTCTTAACAAATCACTAAGTATGTATAAATAATTTGAATGAACTTAAAAATCATTCAGAATATTTCGATGTCGATGTTTTAAAAAAAAGACAGAATAATTTAATAAATAACAACTTTCTCAGATTATATGTATTACACAAGTGGCTTCTAGAATGTATATTGTTGAACATGTTCATTGTTTCCAGATCATCTTGGATGCAACGTATAGGTTAAACAAGTAAAGTAAGTTTCTCAGTGGCCAGTGAAGCACCGCCAATCCGCCCCATGTTACGTCTTGCGCCGGTGACGGTCCGATACTTTATCCAGCCCTTCGCGTCGTTTGCTCCATTTCATAAATTCGCTTCATAACTTTTCTCCTTGCCTATTTACAGAACACGTTACACGAAATATTGTTTACAACACTAGTTTTGAATTCGCACACACATGTATGTTTATGTATATGTATGTATGTGTATATATGTATACTTATTCGTATATTGTTGTATGTTATCAACCTGGAAATCTTTGAATGAAGTTTGAGAAACTGGTTGAAAACTGCTGATTGTTTAATAATAAAATATGTTATAAAAAACTTAATTAGGTACCTTTTTTGCGAAAGAAAAATCATCAAATTACTTCTCCCGCGCTGGTTGTGTCCCGCGCTGGTTGTGTCAAGAGGGAGTGTTTCACTTTTACTGACTAAAAATCACCTCGTTCCTTGCCCTGCTCTAGGTCTGCTCTGCTTCATTATTGCACTTGACCCCTGCTATATGCTTCACTTCTAGGTTAAGCATAAATAAATGCATTGTTTATCAATTTTTTTCGAGGGGGCAAATTTATCTTATAACTTCTATTACGGAGTAAAAACCAACCTGTCCTTATCCAGCTCCGAATCGGACCACAGTGCATGATTGTGCTTGCATCCGCTACCCTGGCTAGCCTGTCTAGTAAAGAATACCGACGGTCCCTTAAGTCAACCCGCGAAAAGAGTTAGGGTGGTGAGAAATTAGTTCTTCTCCACCGCCATCATATTGGCGATAGGCAAAGGTATGTACGTGTGCACGTACGAACGTTTGGATGTTAATGATATATGTATAGAGCTCCACGCTGCGACGGTCTCCCTCGTGGTGTAAGCTGATGCTTATTAAGTGGACATTGTGCTACTGTAACCAGTACGTAGGCACTACTGATACTTAAATAAATAATACTGCACGGATTAATTTCATTCTTCATCTATGAATGAAATGAATACTCCATATTGGCTAGGCAATAAAGTATTCACAATGCAAATACAGTTGCAGGACTATGATTATTTAGACACCACTGACATACGGTGAAGGTAAACATCATGAGGAAACCTGGACTTATAATTTCTAATTTTAAGTTTGAAATCGCCAACCCGCATTGAGCAAGCGTGGTGATTAATGCTCTAACCTTCTCCGTGTGAGAAGAGGCCTTTGCTCAGCAGTGGGCACTTATAGGCTGATGATGATGATGATGAAATACAGTTGACCCCCGGTCGACAAATATTTTGTAAGGCAGCGTCGAACTATAGAATTTTGTCGGATTATACAGTACTAGAGCCTTTATATACGCTGAAGGATGAATTCATTTAGCCTAAAATATTTCATTTATATTAAATTTCCAGTTATTTGAGCTTTCATTTTAATAAAACAATATAGGTACAATATACATAATTATAGGAACCTATGTTTATGATATTTGTTGATATTTTACTTGCGAAGGCTTGGGTGTATAGAATGTGACTTTTGTCTGCACTGGTAATCAAGGTGCAGTACCTACTTAATAAATTTTATTTATACTAACGAAATTAATTGTCATTGATTCATATTACCACCCCAACACTTT